GGCCCCTCCTGCCAGGGTGGCCTTGCTGCTCCACGTGGACTCGATGTGTGGCTTCTGAGGGAGCCATGAAGCCCCCGGGATGGTGGAAGCCTTGTGGTCAAGTACAGCCACGTGGTGCCTGAGAAAGCCTCATGTGCCAGTGATCAGCCTAGTAGCTGATTTGAAATTGGTTTGAAATGTTACATGTCAGAAGTTCCCACACCTAGATGACCATCCAAATCACCTGGGGGAGCTTTGAGAGGAACAACTTCCCAGGCTCCATCTCCAATGCCTCTGACCCAGCCGGTCCAGGGTGGAGCCCAAGAATTTGTGTTGTTTTTTAACTCTGGGGTGATTGAATCCATGCTGGCTCTTAATGATCCCACTGCCCTTTCTGAACGCCCACAGACAATTGCTTCCAGAAGTCCACGTCTCTGTGGCTCTTTTCTGCAAGGCCCACTCTGCACCGACTGGGACGTGGCTCTCTGGCCATGGTGTCTGGCCCAAAGCAAGTATCAGTTCTTTAACTGATGGCCCAACAAAGCTAGGAAATTGGGAAGGTAGGGAAGGAGATAGCGAGCCTCCAGGTGTCCCCCTACTCAGGGGACCTCTCCTGCCCTGGCCTTCCACTCCATCATCCCACCATAGCTCCTTGGTTCTACAGGAGGAGGAAGACAGGGCAGAATGGGAAGTGAGTGGGGCTGTGTGAGTGTGAGGTCAGGTTCTACCTCAGGGCCAGGATTAGGGTAAGGCAAGCAAGGCACGGACCTCAGGGGCGACATCTAAGGTGGTACCAACAAACTCAGTCATCAAGATAGAGAATATTGTAATGCCATATTTTTAAAAATCAAAATTAATGCAAAAAAAATTCCACTGATGAACAAAATCACAAAACTTTAAATAAAGACAGGATCAGTAATGGTGCCAAGCCGTGTCAGAGCCTGAGGTAAAAGGAAAAATCAGTCACAGAAACGATGCAGAAAGGAGAGTTCAGAGCATTTATTCCCCTGCTCCCTGCCTATCAGGCTGCAGGCTGGCACTGGTCCCGCTCCCACCCCTATAGCTACAGCTCTAGTCCAGCAGTCCCTCCTGCAGAGGCAGTCACAGCGCCTGCTGGTTTGGATAACCACCCTCCCTGCCAGCTCAGCTGCAGCAGTCTTAGCTGTTCTGCACTGTTGCTATTTCTAAAGTGCTTCACCATCTCTTGTTCTTTTCCTTCACCCTGCCCATTCCTGTGTAACTGCTCCTGCATTAAACAATCCACAATACTCCACTAAAGGAAAGAGAGAAATAGAAAGAGCTAGAGAAAGAGAGAGAGAAAGAGAAAAGGAAGGAAGGGAGGGAGGGAAAGAGGGAGGAGTGCAACAGAGAGTAGGAAAAAAATACTTAAATTTTAAAAAACCTTTAGAGAGAAGATATTACATCTACGACACAATAACTGGAGCCTTTTTTAAGAAAAGAAATAATCTGGGTCGGCCAAATGGCGCGTTGGTTAAGAGTTGGCTTGGGACGCCAGCTCTGAGCAGCAGGGCCCCGGTTCAGATCCCACATGACAGTCAGTGACACTGCGCCCCCTACAGCTAAGATGGTGAACAACAGCTCAACCTGGAGCTGGGCTGCCATGAGTTGCTGGCGATGGCGTAGGCTGCAGTCCCTGTGGCAGTNTAGGCTGCAGTCCCTGTGGCAGTGGGTTGCCATGGGCTACCGTGTGTAGCCAGCAGCCAGCATGAGCGGCCAGCAGCCGCAGTGAGCGGCCGGTCCAGAAACCGGCGACTGATCTGCCTCGCCTGGGAAGACGCAATGATGGTGCCAACTTGGTTGGGCCAGTGAAGCAACGTCCTCCACAACTAGACTGAAGAACAAAAGGACAGCAACTTGTCTGTTCCCCTTCCCCCAATTCAGCAGCGCTGTTCCCATCCCCCCAATTCCCCAATAAAAATCTTGAAAAAAAAGAAAAAGAAAAAGAAAATAAGATTGAGGAAATCTCCCAGAAAGTGGAACAATAGTGAGCAAACAAACAAAAAATAATAAACAACAAAAAATGCAAAAGGGATGCATGGACAACAGAAGAGAGAAGAAAGTGCGAGGATCACTCCCAAAAATGGACATCAAATCAAGAGGAATTGTAGAAAGAAGAGAATATGGTAGGGAGAAGATTATCAAATAAATAAAAGAGGAAGACTTTCCAGAACTGGTGAATATAAGTCTCTAGGTTGAAAAAGTCCGTTAAGAGTCCAGTGTGGTGACAGAAGAGCCAGAACAGGCCCCTCAACCTTGGGGGTTACAGGGAACACCCCAAAAGCTCCCAGAGGTGGGGAGGGTGGGGACAGGTATACACAAAGATGGGGCCTATAAATGACATCAAACCTCTCGAAAGTGACATCGGAAGCCAGAAGACAATGGTGAAGTGCCCATAAACTTGTGAAGGAAAATTATTTTTAACCTAGAATTCTATATTCTAACCACACCATCAATCAAGTGTGAGAACACAATCAAGTCATTTTCAGACATGCAAGCTCTCGAAAGCATTTTTTCTCCTGTGTAAACTTTCTCAGGAAGTTAAACAAGCAAGGAGGAGAAGCAGGGAAGAGAAGACATAGGGTCAAGAGAACAGGACACCCCAAAACAGGAGAGACATCAGGGGTTCCAATGATGAAGGAGCCAGAGGTCCCAGGGTGGCTGTGGGACAGGCGGGCAAGCAGCCAGTTCAGGTTGGAGCAGGACAAAAAGAAAGAGGTTTCCAGGGGAAGAAAGAACGGACGGGTTTGACTACCCTAAAATTATAGTATTTGAGGCTGTTAAACAACAAAATTCAACTAAGTACATTTTAAAGATCCCATTGGCTCTATTAAACAATTCATGAATCAGGCAGCATCCCATCTAGCCAATAGAGGGACATTTCTAGCAAACAGAAGGTTGTTTGTGGCAAGTTCTGTGAGGGGATGACAGGGGTCCATCAGTCAGGTTACCTAACTAGTGCTGACCAGGCAATACCAGACTGACTGCTTCAAGATTCCACTTCTGGGGGAGGTTGAAACTGTAATTCAGTTAGGTATTATAAGTCTTGGATTTTGTGCCGTGGGCTTGGCCCAAGTGATTCCATTTTGGGTCTGTTGTCTCTGGTTTTTTTTTAAAGATTTTTATTGGGGCATTGGGGGGATGGGAACAGTGCTGAGGAATTGGGGGGAGGGGTACAGACAAGTTGCTGTCCTTTTGTTCTTCAGTCTAGTTGTGGAGGATGTTGCTTCACTGGCCCAAGTTGGCACCATCATTGCGCTCTTCTCTGGCGAGGCAGATCAGTCGCCGGCTTCTGGACGGCCGCTCACTGCGGCTGCTGGCCGCTCACGCTGGCTGCTGGCTACATACGGTAGCCCATGGCAACCCACTGCCACAGAGACTGCAGCCTACGCCGTCGCCGGCGACTCATGGCAGCCCAGCTCCAGGTTGAGCTGTTGTTCAGCATCTTAGCTGCAGAGGGCAGTGTCACTGGCCCTCATATGTGGGATCCGAACCAGGGCCCTCTGGGGTCCCAAGCCAGTTCTTAGCCATTGTGCCACTCAGCCGGCCCTGTCTGTTTTTTTAACAAGGCCAATGGATGTGTAAGAATATATAGCTGTATTAAGTACAGAAAACTAAGAAAGTGTGTGGGGGGCAAGGATCCAAGAAAAAGAAAAATTATTTAAGAAAGTAAACAATGTTATCACACTGCTTGGATTCGTGGAGAACAATATTTACATGATTATAATGATATAAAATAGAGCATATGGATTTAACAACCATATTGAGAAAATAAACTGATGCTGGAGGGAGTATATAAAAGGCAAATCTTTATCTACAAAACAGGCAGCCAACAGATAATGTCTAAATGGATTATCAAGAGGCAGCAGTATAAGCAAATCAGAAATATGGAGGTAACTACCAGCAGAAACACCTGAAGCATTCCTCCCAGCAAGGGTGGGACTGTGTGTTTTGTTTTCTGATTTTAGCATTATTTGACCTTTCTGGCCATCTGCACACACTTCTTTGAGTTTAAAAAAAAAATCATTATTAAGACAAAATAAAGAAATATATGCTTAGAGGCACATCCTCTTGTTTCATAGTTTTTCTGCATGCTGAGAATGCACCCTCTTTACTCTCAACCACAGGCATGTACACGCAGGGCCACAGGCACACTCACATTTACATGGTCTCACACACACACACACACACACACACATACACACACGCGCGCGCGCACACACACACACACTCATCACAGACACAAACAGGTGACAGACACACAGGCAAACGTACACACGAGTTATACATCAAAACCCTCAGAAACATGCAAACACATTCTTGCTGACACGCACACATGATTATAGATTCACCCACAAACGTGCAGAGGCCCCCATCAGCTCTCCAGAAAGCAGGCTGGAAAGCAGGGACAGACACTGCTAGGACGGCACTTCCTCCAGGCTTTAATCCCCCTGACCTCCCTGCACCCACCTCCCTGCACCCACCACCCAGCACTGCACCAGGCAGAGGAGAGACTCTCCTGGGGCTTCACCCTAATAGCTTCCTCTACACAGAGTACCCTGCCATGAGGGTGAGCAGCCTGAGCCTCTGCAGCCAGGAGCCCTTTGGGGCCACAAGGTCTGTAGATAGCACAGAAATGACGTGGGAGAGGGGCCAGAGCTGGCAGCTGGATGTCACTAAGAACGCCACCTTCATTCAGCTTTTGGTGGAGGCCCTAAGCAGTGGGAGAGTCCAGTGTCAGGAACGCTGTGGACACGCTGTGCATCCTTGAGCAAACCACTTTACCTCTCTGGGTCCGTGAGGAGGTGGGCAGCCTACGAAGCTCTGAGATGACAAGATTTTATGACTCAGGCTGGGCCCTGCTTCCATCCCTACCAGATCTCTCTCCACACTGACCTCTAAGGCCAACCCCAAAGGATATGTGTGATACGCATTTCTGACAAGTGTACATGGGGCACCCCCACGGGCACTTCCCTCCCCATCCACATTCTTCCAGCACTCACCACCACCCTGGTCCTGTTATCCGGCAGTGAGTCAATAGCCAGGGTGCCCCCACCCAGGTCCTGGCTCAGCTGGGTCCTGTCCGGCTCCGACAACTGCCCAGGGCTCTTTCGGGCTCTCCGATTCCAGCCCTGCATGGTCCCCTCAGCGGTCCATCCAGAGCCTCGGCCTGCATTTTGACCTGGGAGAAGGGGACAGAAAGCTGAGTCCTGGGAGTCCAGAATGAAGGTCCGGGAGGGAGACCAGCCCAGTTAACTCTGCAGAGGCCCTGACTCCATGCCATCATTGCTTTTGGGGACACTTACTGCCAAGGCAAGAGACACCCAACATACACTGAGAGACAAGTACCCAGCTCCATTCCATGCACTTTGCACATATAACACTTTTAGTCCTCACCCCAGGCCTCCCCAGTAGATATGATGCTCTCACAGTGAAATATACTTCACAGATAGGAATCAGCTGCTCACAGGGATTAAAGAAGGTCACACAGCAGATTAGGCATGGAGATCATTTCAATTTCATACCCAGGAAGATCTGCCTCCAAAGCGGTGATTATCCTCAAACTCAGCTGTGCACTGGAATTATCCAGGGAGGCTTAAAAATTCCTGATGTCTGGGTCCCACCCGAGACTCTGATGTAATTGGTCCATGGTGTAGCATGAGCATTAGGATTCTTAAACGATTCACAGGGGGGCTTTTAAGAAGCCCTGGACCTAACACTGCAGACAAGGGTGAGAAGCACTGCTCTGGAACCTTCCAAGCCAGTTCCTTATTTCTTTGCCAGCAATGGCACAAAATCTCACATTCCAGGGGACTCCAGGGACTAGAAGCCAGAGAACAGAGTTCTTTTTAATTCAGGGCTTCTCAATCTTGGTACTATTGATGTTTTAGACTGGATAATTCTTCGTTGTGTGTGTGTGGGGGGGCCTGTTCCTTGGCATCATAACATGTCTAGCAGCATCCCTGGCCTCTATGTACTAGATGCCACCTCCTCCCAGGTTGTGATAGTCGAAGATGTCTCCATAGTGGGGGCCACTGTTTAATCCTATCCCTACCTTCCAACACCTTGGGCAAGTTGCTTTCCCTATAAAACAAACAGCCTAGACACCGTCAAGGATGGCAAATAGGTTTCATCTCAAAAACCGTCTCCAATCAGTTAGTGGCAGCCAGAAGCACTCTACTGAGAAGAATTCTGAGGCTCCATTTGTTTTTAGCAGGGAAGACTTGTGATCAATTAGCAATGTCTGCCGTGGGCACAAGATTGGCAAGTGCCCAATTAGCGGCTATTCCTAGACTCAATGTTCTCTCCAGTTCTCTCCAGGTCATTAAATGGATTCTAAATGGCACAGAAACCATACTTTTCCATTTCGGAAACATCTGTGCCCCCAAAGATGTGTCTTATATTATCACTCCAATTGTCACACCTACTATGGACATGTATATGGGACACAGACCACCAGATAGGTGGATCTGATATTCCCTATGATCTTCACCAATTTCAGGCCCACCCTGTGTCAAATGCCTTTCTCGGCCTCTGTCTGTCTCCACCTGCTCTCCAGAGCTCCTGGATGTAGTCCTCTTTCCTAGAGCATCCACTGGTGCTGTAACTATGTGCCTGTCTCCCAGGTACCTTCTGCAAATGTGTTCCCTCGGTGCCTAGCAAAGAGTAGGTGCCCAATCATTGCATAATTGAGGGCACAATCCTGGAAGTAACTTGGGAGCCAGCAAGCACAGAGGTTGAGACAAGGTTTGGCCAGGACCAGGCCTGGGGCTGGGGCCAGGGCTCTTTGCTGTGGGGCTCTGGTTTGTCATTAGACATTTTATCCAATTAAGTCATTCTTGGCTGCTGGCGCCTGCTGGACCCTTGCCGGCCCTCTCTCACTTCTCTGCCCCTAATCGCAACCAGATGCTCTGGAGAAGATGGGGAGAGGGGTGGTCTTCCAGACCCCTTTCCCAAGATGCCCACTGGCTGAGATGGACTGAGTGAGCCCAGTGCCGGGAAGACAGCCTGCCCTTGACCCAGACCCCAAGCCAGGGATGCCTTGCCCTTCTTGGGTGAGGCCATAGCTGCCTCTGGGGACAGAACTGTTTGTGCCAGGCTGCTCTGCCCAGCTCCCTAGGTCCTTCTGCAAGCAGCCCTCAGACCTGGGCAGGAGCCAGGACAGGAAAGGAGTGTATACAGAGCAAGCGGAGGAGCGCAGACGGCCTGGAAAGGGATGTTGGGATCTGCAGGCATCACAATCCTGCAACTGAGACAGTAGGGTGCCTGGATGGTGGGGGCCCAAGGCCTGGGAGTGGGGGGGGCCTAGCCAGAGGTGGGGTCAGGGGGGAGACACCTGCAGCCACAAGCTGTGTGACCTTAGATCCATCAATTGACTTCTGTAAGCCTCAGTTTCCTCATCACTAAAATAGGAATGTCAGTCATGTCTATCGCACAGCCTGCCATTAGTATCACATGAGAAACAGAAATGAGAAGGCTTTATACATAGAGGGCTCAAGGCCAGGGTCAGAGGTAGAGTCCCTGAAGACGGCAGGGCAAAGGATGGACTGGAGCCTTCTCTATACCGGTCTAGCTCTGAATCTTGCCCCCTCAACCCACACCACTCTGTCTCCCTGCCACCCTCCCCCTCCCAGCTGGCTAGGACAGGACATCATCCCCTCAGCCAGTGGAAGGAGCCAACACAGCTGGTTGCTCACGTGTGTATGTGCAGGGACCCACGTGCCTGTGTGTGCGCACACACATGCACATACGGACTTGCCTGCAGGCTCTGGCCCTCCTCTCTAGGTGCTCACGCACATGTCACACACCTGTCCAACCCTTGGCCGCTCCCTGCTCTACTTTCTGCTTTGCTATGGAGAGCCTCTGCCTGTGAGTGAGGGCAAGAAGTTTCCAGAGCACACGCTATTCATGTATTCATCCATTCATTCCCCCATGACCCCAAGGAGCATAGGTCTAGTGGGACGTCACAATAGTAATAGTAATAATGAAAATGATAGCTAACTTGTAGGGAGTGCTTGCCCTGTGCTGGCACTATTCCAAGTGCTTTAAACACATTAACTCATGTAATCTCCACAAGAGCCCCATGAGGTAGGTGCTAGTTTTAGATCTATTTTACAAATTGGGTAACTGAGGCACAAAGATGTTATTGAATCTCTCAAGGTCACACAACTAGTCCATGGCAGGATTTACACTCAGGCAGGCTGACTCCAAGGTCTGCTCAGACCACAGAATGTGCAGCAAGAGGCGACCAGCAACCCTAGGCTGTTTCCTAAGATGCAGGGACAGCCCCAGGGAAGGACCGGCATGTGGGCTGGGCTCTTAGAGGGTCCTGCACTGAGAGCCACTGGGCCTGAACCTGGGAGCTGCCCTGGGAGACTGTCCCCTGTCATGCAAGGGGGCAGGCCAGTGGTAGTGCCTCAATCCCTTCACATGCCACTGCCCTGCGCCAGGGTAAGAAGCAATGGGCTGATTTCAGGAGGCCGGGTCGTGTCACCCCAAAGCCTGGTCTGAACCACCTACATCCTACCCATCACCCAAGCTTGCCATGCCAGCCCCACGACCACCACTCAGTCCAGTAGCTACTTCAGCCTCCACCCTTAATACCCTTCTGCTAGTCCCCCATGCCCACTAGAGCATCTAGAGGATAAACTTGGTTCCATCTCTCCCAAGCATCCTACTTGCCACAGCCCTCCAGCTGTAGGCCTAGCTCCTCCATCCAGCATTCAAGGTCCCCGCTGTCTCCTCCAGCCCCCCTTAAGGCCCTCGCCAGGACTCAGTCCTGCTCTCTCTGGCCACAGGGTTTCACACAGGCAGTTTCTCAGCCAGGATCACTCTGCTCCACAAATAAACCCTTCTCCTGATGAGTTCTTGTCATCCTTCGAGTCTCAGGAGATGTCACTTCTTCCCAGCATGTCCCCTGACATCTCTCTCCCTTGCCCCAAATGCTACACATGCCACCCCGGCCCTGATCCCAACATGTCTCTGTTGGCTGTGTATCCATAGGCTCCAGGTGCCTGACACAGAGCAAATGCTCAGTAGGCACACATGGATGACAGAAGGAAGGAAGGGAGGAAGAGCGGGAGGGAGGGAGGGAAGATTTTTAAATGCCCTGAGAACCTGAGATCCACAGCACTCAGGATCCAGAAGTGCCTTCCCTTGGGACACAGCCCCACCAGAAACCCCCCCTGCAATTTCACAGCAATAGAAGAGCACAGGTTTGGAATCAGACAAGCTTGAGACTGAAGCCTGAATCTACTACCTATTGACCGTGACGTTGGACAAATTGCATGATCTCTCTGAGCCTCAGCTTCCTCATCTCTAAAATGGGGATGATAAAACCTATACTTGGTCATCGTTGAGTTTGTAACAAAATAACGTACGCAAAGCATCCAGCAGGGTCCAGCCTTCCCTGAGTTTCACACGACGACCGACTTTCTGAGGGACTTGGGAAAGGCCCTGAGATGAAATCCTGCCTCCTAGTCACAAAGCTCTCAAGGGCACCCTCTCCCCTCCTGCTGTCAGGCAGGTTCCCACCGAGGACCCTTATCTAGGGAGATGGAGGGAGGGAGGCATGAGGAATTGGCAGGAAGGGGCCACCAAGTAGTTCCAAAGGAAAGAGGAGAGGAAAGGAGAGATAAAGAGCTTGGCTTTATATAAAGAGTTTCTCTCGAACCAAGAGTCTGGGGCCTGTGACTACCTCTGATTCACTCATTCAACACACATTTATTGGAGACCCTGCTGTGTGCTGGGTGCCACATTGCCTGCTAGGGTGACAACAGTTGAATAGGCAGACACAACCGTTGTGCCTATGAAGATTCTAGTTGGAAAAGACATATATAAAATGAACAATACAGCAAATAAGACAATGCGAGACGGTGATAAGTGCTATGAAGAAAAAAAGGTGGACCAAAGGGTTGGAGTTGTTGGTACTCTGGACAGAGCCATCAGGGTGGGCTTCTCTGAGGAGGTGGCCCTTGAGCTGACTGAAAGCAGAATGAAGAGAAGCCAGCTACCTGACGGTCCAAGGGGAGGCAGCCTGAGTGTGTTGAGGGATGGACCTGGGGAGAGCGAGGGCAGGGTGAGGGGTGGGGAGAGGCTGTTTCTGATGGCTACTTTAAAAAGTTTGGATTTTAGTCTCGGTTTGTTTGGAAATCCCTGGTGAGCAAGGATGAGGCTGGAAGCAGAATCATGACTACAAGGGTCCCTAGACAATCTGGTCCAAAATCCATTTTATAGAAGGGGAAACCATGGCTCAGAAAGAAAAAGTTAAAAAAAAAAAGGAGGACATTGCCAAGTTCACCAGGTGTTGGTGAGGGGCCTGGTCTCCTGACTCCCAGGCCAGGACC